TAAGGTTGGTTCAGTGGATTGGGTAGGCTTCCTGGTGCAGGGGACTGGTGCCTGTGTTCTGGTGGACGAGGCTGTATCTTGTCTTTCTGGTGGGCAGGACTGCATCTGGTGGTGTGCTTTGGGGTGTCTGTGAACTTAGTATGATTTTAGGCAGCCTCTCTGCTAATGGTTGGGGTTGTGTTCCTGTCTTGCTAGTTGTTTGCCTTGGGGTGAGCTTGCTGGTCGTTGAGTGGAGCTGGGTCTTAGCATTGAGACGGAGATCTCTGGGAGAGCTCTCACCGATTAATATTACACGGGGCCAGGAGGTTTCTGGCGGTACTGAACTTGGCTCTCCCACCTCAGAGGCTCAGGCCTGACACCCGGCTGGAGCAGCAAGACCCTGTCAGCCACACGGTGTGTGCCAGAGCGGAGATCCCAGTCATGGTGCTGCTGGTGGTCCTGTCTGGCCAGGGAACGCGGTTGTTTGGCAGTTTTGACTGATTTGGGTCTCCAGTCAAAGGGCCCTACCAGTTCATTTTACTGTTTTGCTTCAGCAGGAAAGCAAATACGCAGCCTCCGTTCCTGCCCATCCAGGAGCCTGGCCAGAGGGGCTCTGAACTCGACAGGTAATCACCTTCTCAGAAGCAGGGAAAGACTTTCTTGGAAGAGGGAAGTTTTTATTTTCTGACTTCAAAATTAGCAAATTGTCTTGGATCCCAACAAACAAGTATCCAACAGGACCAGGAGTGCTCTGGAATTCCACTGGGGATTCGATTTATACAGGATTCATTATATGCTGGATTTATTGCAAGTGCTAAGTAGGAAAAGTCCCGGGAGCCAGTGGCAGTTGATAAGTGGGGGTCTGACCTAGTTATGGAAGACTTCCTGAAGGAAGGGACATTTGAGCTAAGGAAGAATGGGTGTTACCGAGGCAGGAAGCATACTCCTAGCAGGTAGTAGGAGTGGGGTCGCCTGGCTGAGCCCCACTATGGGAGTGGGTGTGACTGGAGATGAGGCTGGAGGCAGAAGGGACTGGACAAGGCAGGTCAGACAGGCTGCAGGGAGGATTTTAGTCCTCATCCTTGCCACCTGGGGAAGCAAGTGGGTGATGTGATCATATCTGGAAAAAGCACATTAGCCACAGTGTAGAGGATGGATTTCAGGCGGTGCAGAATTACTGACAGGAAACCCATTAGAAATGATGGCCCTGTCAGCAATAAATTCCCAGGGATCTTACCTGGCCATCCCATGTATCCCAGAATATACCAGAGCATCCCAGGAAAAGGTACTTCCTTGAACCTAACATACTCATACACCACACCTCCTGCCCCCCTCCCAGTCACTCTCTAGCCCCCTTCTCTGCTTTGCCTTTTTTTTTTTTTGTGGTACGTGGGCCTCTCACTGTTGTGGCCTCTCCCGCTGTGGAGCACAGGCTCCGGATGCGCAGGCTCAGCGGACATGGCTCACGGGCCCAGCCGCTCCGCAGCCTGTGGGATCCTCCCGGACCGGGGCACAAACCCGTGTCCCCTGCATCGGCAGGCGGACTCTCAACCACTGCACCACCAAGGAAGCCCATGCTTTGCCTTTTTTTTAACTTTCATTGTCATTATTTTCTCTGCTATTATATATTCATTTATTTGTTGTTTACTTGCCAGGTTTCTGTCACCCCCTCTAGCAGGTGAGCTTCACGAGGTCAGGGACCTTGTCTCCTATCTTCCTTGATATAGTATAGCCCCTGCACCCTGCACAGTGACTGGTACACAGCAGGTGTTCAGTAAAGGCACTGAGTGTGGGTGTGAGTGAATGAGAAGTTGGGGTGTTAGGACAGCTTATGGCAGTGAGCTGGACCCAGGCTGGCCCTCCAGTAGGTGGTGGCAATTAACAAGGCTCTCTGCTCAATCCTGAAATATAAAGACTTGGAATTCTCAGGGCCAGAGAGGGTTAACCTCCTTCTGAGTGGATCTGAAGGCCAGGGAGTTGGGGAAAGGTCTCCATTTGGTATATGAGGACAAAGAAGTAAAATGACTCATAAGAGACCAGCTCAGAGCCAGGCAGCAGGGGTAAGAATGAATTCACCAAAGATGCCCAACTCAGCTCCACACACCCATGGCTTTGTAATTGATAATGAGATGATGATGATGATGAAGATGATGGTTAACATTAATGTAAGTCACAATGGTATTTACCAGATATTGTTCTGAGCATTTTACTATATTAACTCATTTAATCCTTACAGCAATCCTATGAGGTGGGTAATGTGGTTATCCCCATTTTATAGCAGGGAAAGTCGAGGCACAGAGAGGTTAGGCAACGTGCCAAGGTGACAAGCCCCAGAAGTGGCTGAGCAGGGATTGGAGCAGGTGATCCTGGGCACTGTACCCAAGCAAAACGCCTCCCTAACATCCTGCCACCCAGCCAGACACAGTGCCCCAGATGCTTCTGGTCCCAAGACCAGAGTCAAGCTGACCCACTCTTGCCCTCCTGTTTCATGAATTCACGTTCAGACCACAAATTTCCCTTACTGCATTGTTCCCTGGTGAGTGGGGTGCCCTAATGATTAAGCAAACATGGGCTATGGAATCAGATGGACTTAGGTTCAAATCCCAGCTCAGCCACTTCCTAACTAAGCAGGGAAGGATAAGTGATGTCACCTTTCTGAGCCTCATTTGCCCCATCTGCCAAATGGAGCTAACGATGTTTCACCCCCGGAATGGCTGTGGGGACTGAGCGAGCAAATCCGCCCAAGCGTGCAGCCCCTTGCCTGCTCGTGGTGCGCATGGAGGAGATAGCTTCTCTTTTACTACTTGCCTAGTCTTGACCCCTCTGTCTCCTTCTGCTTCCCGCCAGCCCACTTCCCACCTCAAACCAGCAGCCTGCTCGCCGACCTTGCCAGAACTCAAAGTTGGGAGAAATTAAAAGCCCAGTGGGATCCCTGCAGGCTCTGCCAGCCTAACAACACAGCCAATTAAAGAATCTCTTGGATTTGAGTTCTGAGCAAATCGGAGCTTAAAACAAAAGTCCCAAACTTTAAACCCCACTGAGGGGCTTCCCTGGTGGCGTAGTGGTTACGAATCCGCCTGCCAATGCAGGGGACGTGGGTTCCATACGTGGCCTGGGAAGATCCTAAATGCCGCGGAGCAGCTAAGCCCATGCGCCACAACTACTGAGCCTGTGCTCTACAGCCCGAGCGCCGCAACAAGAGAAGCCACCGCAATGAGATGCCTGCGCACCACAAAAAGAGTAGCTCCCGCTCACCGCAACCAGAGAAAGCGCTCGCGCAGCAACGAAGATTCAACGCCTCCAAAAATAAATTAATTAATTAAAAAAAAAAAACCACTGAGGAGCTAAGTCTGGTACCCCACGAAGCTATTTTTTTAAAGTCCTTTGAGCGTCGGCATTATTGAGAGGTAAGAGTTCCGAGTACCTGCATCTTAGGGCTGCCCAGTCCTCTCAAAGGGCTCAAAGTCAAAGGAGATGTTAAAAATACACGTGCCACAGACAAATGCAAACTGAGGGACAGTCTCCGAACAACTGGTCTAGACGCTTCAAAATGTCAGGGTCATAAATGACACACACACAAAAAAGCTGAGGAACTGTTTCAGATTAAAAGGGACAAAAAAGAAATGACAACTAAAAGCACTGCATGATTCTGGATTATCTTTTTTAAATGGGGTGGGAGGGACAGTTAGGGAAATTTGCCACAAACTGTGGCTTAGATAATAGTATTGTCTCAATGCTAATATCCTGAATTTGATAATTATGCTGCAGTTATGTAAGAGAATTTCCTTGTTCTTAGGAGATAAGCATCAGTAAAGAGGCATTTCGTTTACAGCTTCTCAAATGATTCAGAAAAGAAAATAATATGCATATTTATATATGGAAAGAGAGAAATGACTGAGCAAATGGGACAAAGGATATACGTAATTCCTTTGCACTATCCTTGCAACTTTTCTGTGAGAGCAGAATTATTTCAAAGTGAAAAAAAATTTTTAATGCAGATTCCTGTGTTACATTCCCCCCTTCCTGGAGAGCCCAACTCATTGGATCTTTGGAAGGACCCAGGAATCTGCATTTCTAGCAAGCTCCCCAGGGGATTCTGGCACACAGGAAGCTTGACTGTAAGTCTATCTCTGCAGAAAGCTGGGGGCCTTCTTTCCCAGTCAGAGGGCAGAGGCACAGCCCCTCCAGTTTTTACCTTCCTTTCCCCACCTGTTCCAGGCAACAATCAAGGAGCCACTAATGGAGGGTTTTGCAAACCAACAGCATGGGAGGTTCCTCCAGATTTTTGTCAAGAGCAAAGCTTGCTCCGAGCCTCTAGCCCATTTATAATTACATGACTTAAAATACAATTTGCTAAAGACAATCTGCTGAGGAAGGGAGATAGAAGAAATAAAATGAGAGTAAGGAAGAAGCCGAGGCTTCCGGGAAGATGGCGGAAGAGTAAAACGCGGAGATCACCTTCCTCCCCACAGATACACCAGAAATACATCTACATGTGGAACAACTCCTACAGAACCCCTACTGAACGCTGGCAGAAGACCTCAGACCTCCCAAAAGGCAAGAACCCCCCCCCCCACGTACCTGGGTAGGGCTAAAGAAAAAAGAGGAAACAGAGACAAAAAATAGGGACGGGACCTGCGCCAGTGGGAGGGAGCCGTGAAGGAGGAAAGGTTTCCACACACTAGGAGCCCCTTCGCGGGCAGAGACTGTGGGTGGCGGAGGGGGAAGCTTCGGAGCTGCAGAGGAGAGTGCAGCCACAGGGGTGCGGAGGGCAAAGCGGAGAGATTTCCGCACAGAGGATCAGGGCCGACCAGCACTCACCAGCCCGAGAGGCTTGTCTGCTCCCCCGCCAGGGCGGGCGGGGCTGGGAGCTGAGGCCCGGGCTTTGGTCGGAGCGCTGGGAGAGGACTGGGGTTGGCGGCGTGAACACAGCCTGCAGGGGTTAGTGCGCCACGGCTAGCCAGGAGGGAGTCCGGGGAAAAAGTCTGGACCTGCCGAAGAGGCAAGAGACTTTTTCTTACCTCACTTCCTGGTGCGCGAGGAGACGGGATTAAGAGCGCTGTTTAAAGGAGCTCCAGAGACGGGCGCGAGCCACGGCTAAAAGAGCGGACCCCAGAGACGGGCATGAGATGCTAAGGCTGCTGCTGCCGCCACCAAGAAGCCTGTGTGCGAGCACAGGTCACTCTCCACACCCCCCTTCCGGGAGCCTGTGCAGCCCGCCACTGCCAGGGTCCCGGGATCCAGGGTCAACCCCTCCGGGAGAACGCACGGCACGCTTCAGGCTGGTGCAACGTCACGCCGGCCTCTGCCTCCGCAGGCTCGCCCCGCACTCCGTGCCCCTCCCTCCCCCCGGCCTGAGTGAGCCAGAGCCCCCAAATCAGCGGCTCCTTTAACCCCGTCCTGTCTGAGCGAAGAACAGACGCCCTCTGGCGACCTACACGCAGAGGCGGGGCCCAATCCAAAGCTGAGCCCCTGGAAGCTGTCAGAACAATGAAGAGAAAGGGAAATCTCTCCCAGCAGCCTCAGAAGCAGCGGATTAAAGCTCCACAATCAACTTGACGTACCCTGCATCTGTGGAATGCATGAATAGACAACGAATCATCCCAAATTAAGGAGGTGGACTTTGAGAGCAAGATTTATTATTTTTTCCCCTTTTCCTCTTTTTGTGAGTGTGTATGTGTATGCTTCTGTGTGAGATTTTGTCTGTATAGCTTTGTTTCCACCATTTGTCCTAGGGTTCTACCCGTCCGTTTTTTTGTTGTTGTTGTTTTTTAAATTTTTTTCTCTAATTATTTTTTTATTTTAATAACTTTATTATATTTTATCTTATTTTATTTTACTTTATCTCTTTTCTTTTTTTCCTTCCTTCCCTCCTTCCTTCCTTCCTCCCTCCCTCCCTCCTTTCTTTCTACTCCTACTAATTCTTTCTTTCTACTTTTTCTCCCTTTTATTCTGAGCCGTGTGGATGAAAGGCTCTTGGTGCAGCAGCCAGGAGTCAGTGCTGTGCCTCTGAGGAGGGAGAGCCAACTTCAGGACACTGGTCCACAAGAGACCTCCCAGCTCCACATAATATCAAATGGTGAAAATCTCCCAGAGATCTCCATCTCAACACCAGCACCCAGCTTCACTCAACGACCAGCAAGCTACAGTGCTGAACATCCTATGCCAAACAACTAGCAAGACAGGAGCACAACCCCAACCATTAGCAGAGAGGCTGCCTAAAATCATAAGTCCACAGACACTCCAAAACACACCACCAGATGTGGAACTGCCCGCCAGAAAGACAAGATCCAGCCTCATCCACCAGAACACAGGCACTAGTCCCCTCCACCAGGAAGCCTACACAACCCACTGAACCAACCTTAGCCACTGGGGACAGACACCAAAAACAACGGGAACTACGAACCCACAGCCTGCAAAAAGGAGACCCCAAACACAGTAAGATAAGGAAAATGAGAAGACAGAAAAACACACAGCAGATGAAGGAGCAAGATAAAAACCCACCAGACCTAACAAATGAAGAGGAAATAGGCAGTCTACCTGAAAAAGAATTCAGAATAATGATAGTAAAGATGATCCAAAACCTTGGAAATAGAATAGACAAAATGCAAGAAACATTTAACAAGTACCTAGAAGAACTAAAGATGAAACAAACAACGATGAACAACACAATAAATGAAATTAAAAATACTCTAGATGGGATCAATAGCAGAATAACTGAGGCAGAAGAACAGATAAGTGACCTGGAAGATAAAATAGTGGAAATAACTACTGCAGAGCAGAATAAAGAAAAAAGAATGAAAAGAACTGAGGACAGTCTCAGAGACCTCTGGGATAACATCAAACGCATCAACGTTAGAATTATAGGGGTTCCAGAAGAAGAAGAGAAAAAGAAAGGGACTGAGAAAATATTTGAAGAGATTATAGTTGAAAACTTCCCTAATATGGGAAAGGAAATAGTCAATCAAGTCCAGGAAGCACAGAGAGTCCCATACAGGATAAATCCAAGGAGAAATACGCCAATACACATATTAATCAAACTGTCAAAAATTAAATACAAAGAAAACATATTAAAAGCAGCAGGGAAAAACAACAAATAACACACAAGGGAATCCCCATAAGGTTAACAGCTGATCTTTTAGCAGAAACTCTGCAAGCCAGAAGGGACTGGCAGGACATATTTAAAGTGATGAAAGGGAAAAACCTGCAACCAAGATTACTCTACCCAGCAAGGATCTCATTCAGATTTGATGGAGAAATTAAAACCTTTACAGACAAGCAAAAGCTGAGAGAGTTCAGCACCACCAAACCAGCTTTACAACAACTGCCAAAGGAACTTCTCTAGGCAGGAAACACAAGAGAAGGAAAAGACCTACAATAACAAACCCAAAACAATTAAGAAAATGGGAATAGGAACATACATATCGATAATTACCTTAAATGTAAATGGATTAATGCTCCCACCAAAAGACACAGATTGGCTGAATGGGTACAAAAACAAGACCCATATATTTGCTGTCTACAAGAGACCCACTTCAGACCTAGGGACACATGCAGACTGAAAGTGAGGGGATGGAAAAAGATATTTCATGCAAACGGAAACCAAAAGAAAGCTGGAGTAGCAATTCTCATATCAGACAAAATAGACTTTAAAATAAAGACTATTACAAGAGACAAAGAAGGACACTACATAATGATCAAGGGATCGATCCAAGAAGAAGATATAACAATTGTAAATATTTATGCACCCAACATAGGAGCACCTCAATACATAAGGCAAATACTTAGAGCCATAAAAGGGGAAATCAACAGTAACACATTCATAGTAGGGGACTTTAACACCCCACTTTCACCAATGGACAAATCATCCAAAATGAAAATAAATAAGGAGACACAAGCTTTAAATGATACATTAAACAAGATGGACTTAATTGATATTTATAGGACATTCCATCAAAAAACAACAGAATACGCATTTTTCTCAAGTGCTCATGGAACATTCTCCAGGATAGATCATATCTTGGGTCACAAATCAAGCCTTGGTAAATTTAAGAAAATTGAAATTGTATCAAGTATCTTTTCCAACCACAACGCTATGAGACTAGATATCAATTACAGTAAAAGATCTGTAAAAAATACAAACACATGGAGGCTAAACAATACACTACTTAATAACGAAGTGATCACTGAAGAAATCAAAGAGGAAATTTAAAAATACCTAGAAACAAATGACAATGGAGAGACGACGACCCAAAATCTATGGGAAGCTGCAAAAGCAGTTCTAAGAGGGAAGTTTATAGCAATTCAATCCTACCTTAAGAAACAGGAAACATCTCGAATAAACAACCTAACCTTGCACATAAAGCAATTAGAGAAAGAAGAACAAAAAAACCCCAAAGTTAGCAGAAGGAAAGAAATCATAAAAATCAGATCAGAAATAAATGAAAAAGAAATGAAGGCAATGATAGCAAAGATCAATAAAACTAAAAGCTGGTTCTTTGAGAAGATAAACAAAATTGGTAGACCATTAGCCAGACTCATCAAGAAAAAAAAGGGAGCAGACTCAAATCAATAGAATTAGAAATGAAAAAGGAGAAGTAACAACTGACACTGCAGAAATACAAAAGATCATGAGAGAGTACTACAAACAACTCTATGCCAATAAAATGGACAACCTGGAAGAAATGGACAAATTCTTAGAAATGCACAACCTGCCAAGACTGAATCAGGAAGAAATAGAAAATATGAACAGACCAATCACAAGTAATGAAATTGAAACTGTGATTAAAAATCTCCCAACAAACAAAAGCCCAGGACCAGATGGCTTCACAGGCGAATTCTATCAAACATTTAGAGAAGAGCTAACACCTATCCTTCTCAAACTCTTCCAAAATATAGCAGAGGGAGGAACACTCCCAAACTCATTCTATGAGGCCACCATCAACCTGATACCAAAACCAGACAAGGATGTCACAAAAAAAGAAAACTACAGGCCAATATCACTGATGAACATAGATGCAAAAATCCTCAACAATATACTAGCAAACAGAATCCAACAGCACATTAAACGGATCATACACCATGATCAAGTGGAGTTTATTCCAGGAATGCAAGGATTCTTCAATATACGCAAATCAATCAACGTGATACACCATATTAACAAATTGAAGGAGAAAAACGATATGATCATCTCAATAGATGCAGAGAAAGCTTTTGACAAAATTCAACACCCATTTATGATAAAAACCCTGCAGAATGTAGGCATAGAGGGAACTTTCCTCAACATAATAAAGGCCATATATGACAAACCCACAGCCAACATCGTCCTCAATGGTGAAAAACTGAAAGCATTTCCACTGAGATCAGGAACAAGACAAGGTTGCCCAATTTCACCACTCTTATTCAACATAGTTTTGGAAGTTTTAGCCACAGCAGTCAGAGAAGAAAAGGAAATAAAAGGAATCCAAATCGGAAAAGAAGTAAAGTTGTCACTGTTTGCAGATGACATGATACTATACATAGAGAATCCTAAAGATGCTACCAGAAAACTACTAGAGCTAATCAATGAATTTGGTAAAGTAGCAGGATACAAAATTAATGCACAGAAATCTCTGGCATTCATATACACTAATGATGAAAAATCTGAAAGTGAAATCAAGAAATCACTCCCATTTACCATTCCAACAAAAAGAATAAAATATCTAGGAATAAACCTACCTAAGGAGACAAAAGACCTGTATGCAGAAAACTATAAGACACTGATGAAAGAAATTAAAGATGAAACAAATAGATGAAGAGATATACCATGTTCTTGGATTGGAAGAATCAACATTGTGAAAATGACTCTACTACCCAAAGCGATCTACAGATTCAATGCAATCCCTATCAAACTACCACTGGCATTTTTCACAGAACTAGAACAAAAACTTTCACAATTTGTATGGAAACACAAAAGACCCCGAATAGCCAAAGCAATCTTGAGAACGAAAAATGGAGCTGGAGGAGTCAGGCTCCCTGACTTCAGTCCATACTACAAAGCTACAGTAATCAAGACAGTATGGTACTCGCACAAA